TATCACTTGCCTCAGAAGGAGACATTAATGAGAGATGAGGTTCCCCGTGAAATGTGATTAAACACATGTCTGTTGAGAGACAAGTGAGTGGTCTAAGGGTAGGGTTGTGGATGCGCCGTTTGGACAAAATGCAGCGACTTCTACCCGAGATTTGAATAAATTCAGTCCTGAACCTATGGGGATAGTCCAGAGTATTTGAGTGGCTAGGAGTAAATGTTCAATGGATAGTAGACGGTTGAGGTAGCAGACTTATCAGTGATAATTGTTTCCTTGCTCACTTGAGCCTTCTGCTTCCTAATGCTTATAATGTTCACTCACTCACTCACTGACGCTTGGTTTTGTCCCTTGGGTAGGCTTAGTTGGGTTAACTAAGCCATAGGGACATGTTCTCTCATTACTTTCTTCATTTTCTCTCTGTACTCCCCCTTAACTTGAGCACTCGGTATGCTTTGTCATTGTTAGGCACCGGGGAGGATAACATTGAACACTCCCCCAAAAATATTGCATCCGTTGAGAGATTCCTTGCTTTGTCGGTGTAAGGCGCCAGGAGGAGAAAACTGAAACTCCCCCTCAGAATGTGCAAGGATTGATTGCTTACAGCTCATCATACCCGCCATGTGTGTGGAGCAATCTGAACAGGTACCACACATGACGGTTTCCCTAAGCTCATCATTTAGAATTTCAGCATGTTTGAGGATCACACAATGTTGATAAGTTAGGGGAGGCTTCAGTATTTGATTGTTGATTGTTGTATGATGACCGTTGACGCGAGGTTGATTGAATTATCTACGATTTGCGGACCTCTATAGTGGAGCTTAGACCTTAGGTTTGACTTTGAAAGAATTTGATCAGATTTGCCTAAGTTTTCACCTGGACATCGGTGATTTACAAAGTTTGTCGGAAAACTAACGTTTTGACCCTCAAAGGCTGCGAGTGAGGGCGCGTGAGAAAGGGTTCTGGGGCCTAGCCCGAGAATTAAATGTAGATCTTTTCGTTAGCTTTCCAACAAAAGAAAAGTTTGTTCAAATCGGATCACCGAGTCAAAAGTTATGGCCAAAACAGTGCTGTGTCGCAGAAAATCTCTAATTTTGAGTTTTTGAGGAATTTCTTCGAAGTTGAGGTTCTCGATGTTGAATATCGAGAACAGGTTGGATTAAGGAAAATTCTAAGGCAATGCCTCAAAATCCTAATCTCGAGGTTTAAATCTCGAGATTACAATCTCGAGGTTTAAATCTCGAGATTACAATCTCGAGGTTTAAATCTCGAGATTACAATCTCGAGTTTTAAATCTCGAGATTACAATCTCGAGGTTTACATCTCGAGATCTTAATCTCGAGTTTTAAATCTCGAGATTACAATCTCGAGGTTTACATCTCGAGATCTTAATCTCAAGTTTGCCTCGAAGAATAATGACGAAATCCACCTGCAAACCAAACCTACGGTCTTCGAAATCTTCATAATTTCAAAATGTTTGGAACATCGAAAACTTTGGAGTTTCGAAAAGCTCAGAAAATCGAAAACTTGTTGTTTGAAAAACATCAGAACATCGAAAATTTCTAAAAACTTTGAAAACAGAGATTCATCCAAAAATCCTATAATGTAAAGCTTCGAAGTGTTCTGAACAAGAAAGATATCAAGTTTAGAAGAAATCTGTGATTCAAGAAACTTCAAACTTTGAAAAATTCAAAACATCGAGAAATTTGGAAAATCTCGAAATCTTAAGAATGTCGAGATCCTAAACATCGAGATCCCAAATGTCGAAATCCCAAAACTCGAAATTCCAAAACTCGAGGTTTCAAAACTCGAGATGTCAAAACTCGAAATTTCAAAACTCGAAATTTCAAAACTCGAGATTTCAAAACTCGAGATGAGGAATTCGAGGCCCTAGATGTCGAGATCCTGCAAAATGAAAACTTCGGTTTTTGAAAATCTGAAAACTGTTCTGAATAGCCCTGGAGGTCGAGATTCTCCTGTATCAGTTTCAAGTCAAAAACGTTTCTGCAGCCATGTAAAATCAGAAAACTCGAGATCCTAATGTAGAGATCTTCGAGATTGAAAAATTGCAGAAATCGAAAACGGAGATATGTTGTAGAATTGGTTTTGAAAGACGATTCCAACAGTATAATTTTTATAAAATTTCGTTCACAAACAAGATTACAGGAGCAAATCTCTACATTGAAGAAAAAGAGAAGAAAAGCATAGCAGTTCTTCGTTAGATCCAAAAAAATCAGAGATAGATTCAACTTGTTTCACGCCTCAGCTCTGATACCAATTGATAGTCCCAAAACTTAACAATCACACAATCATAACAGATAAAGAAGAAGCGGATAGAAAGATATGAGATGAACAAATGAATCTGGTATACTGTATGAAACCCTGCTGCTCTCCCTGGAGAAGGAGAGCAAGGGAAACCATACTCTCTCTCTCTCTCTATCTATCTCGCCTCTGCATCTATAAAGCCTCGAACGTTAGGGTTCCCGTAAGTTAGCCTCCTTTTATAGGAGAAGTTGGCTAACTTACGGGTTACAAGGAAGCTAACGGGCTGATACACATTTGTGGCCCGTATTACACATTTAATTAATAACTACACAAATACAAAGATGTTTAATTAGATTGGACACCATAAAATATTCCTAACATCATCCCAAACCGGTACGAAAAAAAGTAAATTTGAACTAATGGTTAATAATTTTTCTAAGTGGAAGGACCCGAACACCGGGAATTGGACCGCAACTTGCAATCGGTGCAAGAAAAACTATAGCTTGGGGATTTCCAGCGGATACGGATCCGCTACAAGACATCTTAAGTCCAAACACCCGGTGGAGTATGCAAAGTTAGGCGACGGAACGGGGAAGCAAAGTCAAATATCGAGGTTTGCAAATAACCAGCAAGCTTTTAGTAATTTCTCATACAATGATGCGCAAAATTTGACTGATATGGCTAACTTACTTGTTGAAGAAAATTTGCCTTATTTGTTTTCTGAAAGTCTTGCTTTTCGTGATTATGCACAAACTTGTTTATATCCGCAATATAGAGATTATAGTCACAAAACGGTTAAGAATGAAATTTCAAGGCTTTATGGTGCGGAGAAGGTAAGGTTACAAAATTATTTTGCAAACTTTGATGGATGATTTACTGTATGTTCTGACATATGGGAGGATACTTATCATAATTTACATTATTTGGGTCTGACTGTACATTATATTGATAATGATTGACATATGCATAAACGTGTTCTTGCTTTCCATGAATTTAATGATCGTCACACCGGTGAACATATTTATATTTTGATTGAGTGTATTTTAATTGAGTATAATTTAATTGATAAGGTGTTTGCTATTGGTTTTGATAATGCTTCTAATAATACTGTTGCTATTCCTAGATTGCGTGAATTGTGTGGTTCTACTTCTTTGATGGGTAGATTTTTTCATCAACGATGTTCATGTCATGTTCTAAATTTATGTGTGCAAGATGGTCTAAAAGCGTTGGGAGCATCTTTGGAGGTAGTCAAGGGGGGATTAGACGTATTTGGGGTGATGGACAACTTAGAAAAAATGGCATGATTATTTGATAGAAAGAGGTGAGAAATATGTGGCTTTTCCTAAGGATTTGTCTATTCGTTGGAATAGTACCTATAAGTTAATTGGAGTTCTTCTTAGATAGAAACAACATTTTCCTGCTTTTATGAAATAATATGATAACTATATTATAAACTCGGCTGAGATCGACACCTCTGAAAAAATTTGTAATGCTTTGATATATTTTAATAATGCAACTGAAACTTTTAGTCATGTTTATAAACCTACCTCAAACCAATTTATTTGTGAAGCTGTTAATCTCGCCGGTGCTTTTTCAAATTTTGAGAATGTTGATTATGTGAGTTATTTTGCTAGTTTTATGAAGGAAAAGTTTTTAAAATATTATTCCACATATTCCGCGTATTTGCTCTTTAGAAGAATGTTTAAATTATTATTATGCTGCTTTTTTTGGTCCAATGCCAATGAATGAGGACAACCCAATTGATCCGAAAAAAGAATACAGTGAGGTTAGTGATATATTTTATGCATTATTTAATGAGTTTCATGCACAATATGGCAATGCGCCCCCTCCCCCGACACAAACATCATCTAAAGGAAAAATCAATTTTCAAATCTACATTTGTCAATCTTATTAAAAAAACGAAATCAACTCCCGCTACGCAACAAAGTACAATTAATGAGATTTCTTTGTATTTAAGATATGATGTTTATTTTGAAGAAGATGATGATTTTGACGTACTAAACTGGTGGAAAGGAAAAGAAAGAATGTTCCCGGTTTTAGCAAAGATGGCTAAGCAAGTGCTATCAATGCCGATTTCAACAGTTGACGTAGAACAAGAATTTAGTTCGACCGGCAATGTCCTAACGCAATGTAGAACGAGGTTGAGCGCATAATCTCTTGAGATGCTTATATGCTATCACGATTGGTTGAAAACGGCCCGTAGAGCTCAAGAAATTGACATCACCTCATCCCAACACTTTATGGATGAATCTACAACCGAGGGTGGCTCTACCTATGTCGAAGATTCCGATTTATTAGTATTTCATGTTTTGATTTTACCTTCATATTGTATGTTTCTCTTAATTTGCAAATGTAGTTCCTATTTCATTTCAAATAAATGCACTTGAAGTTTGTTTTTAATACTTTTATAAAACTATAAAATATAAATTATAAAAAAAAATGGTTTTAATCGGCCCGACCCGGCGGGTGGCCGGAACCCGTGACCCGGGCAGGTGGCCCGGCCCAAACCGTACCCGTCCAAACCTCGGGCCAGTCCCGGGTCCATGAGATACAAACCAGCGGCCCGACTGGGCCTAGGCCTGGTCCGGCCCGACCCGGCCTGAGTCCATGCCTAAATTCGATGTTTACCATTCAATAGAATTTAATTTGCTTTCTAAACATGTAAATTGTAGTTTTAAACTCTCATGGTATATAATATCATGGTAATTGTATATTAGAGGGGTTTGGCACACTTAACCAACAGAAGTCCAACAAAATTTCCATTTTTTTCCTGAAGGGTTCTTTTTTCTTAACTACATACAATATATTTTACAATATACGAAGTATATATGTATTATTCATTACAAATACACGCCTCAGAGGCTCAGATACTACTTCAGTATACAAATGAACTTACAACTCCTCTATAGGGTGACCTACATTCCCAAGAACCGGGCATCAGGTGAAAATAGCCTGTTGCTGGTGCAGGCTAAAGCCCGACCCATTTTACCCATCTGAAAAGTTTCCTAACTCTGAAAGGCAATTCGTAATCTTTAGTGACAGCAGGTTCCCTTCTAGCAGCCTCTGATTCGGACCATGTGTACACCCCACGTTCCTGGCTGCTTCCTGGCACTGTATTGTCTAGGATCACCGCCACTAGAAAGGCAATCACCATGTGTAGCGAAAACAGCGTGTTCAATATATAGTTTAGCTGCAAATAGAGAAAAAGACACCAAGTGATAATTGGGTACAGAATTGGGTACATGTGAGGACTGCATACATCTTCTCTGCATGCATCTCACCCTCCTTAGATCCTACTCCTTCCAAGTGAGAGACATACCGGTTTGGTAATTATATGACCTCTTTATTTGGACTGGAATTTTTGGGTCTAGCTGGTCTGTGTGTGGTGTAATATGGTTTGTTTAGGTATGGTCGGGTTTGTTTCTGTTTGATGCTTATGTATTTATTAGTATTTAATGCTGATCTATTTAAGTCTAACTTGGTCTGTTTATCGCTGTCTAGCCTAGTTTGGTGTGATCTAGGAATGGAATAAATATAAGAAAATAGGTTCTTAATGGAGCAAATTTTCAAACAAATGGGAACTCCAGATCTAGAGGGGAACTGGAAAATGTAAAGTCAGTTTGGATGGAAGGAAAGAAGCATACCCCTCCATATTTGGTGTGGATGGGACCGTGCGAAGCAACAATGTACGGATGAAAGTAACTAGGAACAGACAGATTTCTGTTTGGAGAGATGCCATACTGTTGGAAGTAGGCTGGTATTGAGAGGGAGAAAAACAATGATAACCCAACTATGATTATGTTTCTTGAACTTCCTGCCTCGCTGTAGCGTAAGTTTGACAGTCCCAATGCCGTAAGCATCGCCCACATGTAGCACAATAGAGCTGCAACTATCACTTCAGGAATTGAAGCAATGAATCCTCCAACTTTGCCTGTTCATGTTAAATTAAACGATATTGTTACCTTACATTTACATTAAATATTGATGAGTATAAAGAATATCAATACTGTAAAACATTGTTCTTGGATTACACCGATTATACAGTTCTTAATAAAAACTTCGGAATTTGAAATGAAACTTCATAAAACAAAAATATTTCCATTTTTCTTAGGATGTCTTACAAAATAATAAATTCAGAAGGGAAAAGGGGCAAATAAGCCCACATACTAACAAGAAAAGGTCAAATAAGCTCTTATATAGGAGGCTCTGTCAGGCCGTCGCCATTTGGGATGGTTCCCGGTGGAATTTTTTAATAAATGTTTTTGAGAATCTTATTCATTAAGTCTAGTTTACTCATACCAAATTTCAGCTAACAATTCAATTGAGAAGGCATTCAAATAAATTCTTGAAGATAACTGCGCTTTTAACTGCGCAGTTATCTTCAAGAATTCATTTGAATGCCTTCCCGATTGAAGTTTTAGCTGAAATTTGGTATGAGTAAACTAGACTTAATAAATAATATGCTCAAAAAATTGCATCAAAAATTTCCACCGGGAACCGCCCCAAATGAGGACAACCGGACATAATCTCCTATATAAGGGCTTATTTGATCTCTTTTGGTTAGTACGTGGGCTTATTTGCCCCTTTTCTCAATTCAGAATAAAGTTAAACAAAATGAGTTAAATATGCATTGTGCCAACATGACACATAGATCGCATATTTTACTAAAAATTCATAAATCACTAATACAAAAATGAGGTCCTAAAAGGGAGCGTACATGTGTGAAGGATATCAAGTCATAATACTAGAATAATTTCAAATGTATAGAAGACAAACACTAATGAAATTTTCCCAACCCGTTCCTGTAATCATTCAATCATTATGAAGTTTTACATAAGAGAGGGCCACAGGAAGAATACATACCTACAAGGGATAAGATAACTAGAGCAACTGCTCCCAGTGAAACTGTTATGCGGCTCCCCATCTTGGTGACTGCAATAGTGTGCACATTCTCAGTCAAAGTCGTGGCTCCAGTTCCTGTGCCCCACAGACCAGCCAAGAGGCTAGTAAGACCTTCAAGACCAATCCCTCGGCTCAAAACACCAGGTGTAGGAGGTCTAGATGCCACCAACAATGACGATGCATGATATGAACCAACCTAAGTTTGATAAATCAAGTGACAATTCAAATAATACATATCATTACTTGTCAAGAAAACCTGGGAAAAGTATGGGTATCACATTATCAAGCTCAAACTTCCAGACCTGTTCACTTTAGTGTGACAAAAACATGTTTCTTGTTTAAATTCATGGATTACACCAATTATAATATTATACTTTTTTTCCCTCTTCTGGGTTTCCAGAGGGCGGTTAACTTTCTATTGCATCCTTTTTCACTTCTTAACTTGAATTTAAACAAGACTTCACATGCAGGCCTCTCTATCTATTCTCAACCACTTTCTTTCAAACCAAACAGTGGTATTTTTACGATCTCCTTATGGTATTTATTGAAAACACTTATGCCTTTAATGATTTTTAATCTCAAGAAGCTTTACAAGGTTTGCTTAATGCGAAGTAGTAGGTGTGTGTTAATTATACTTAGACTATCCAAGTCAACATCACTAAATGAGCCATTCTGAAGTCGTAGCTAGAGAGGACTGCTTTTAAAATTTATGAATAGAGTACCCAACTGCCAATATTATATAATAGAGCATCATGTCAATGCTCATATTTTTGCTCTGTACTATATAAGAAGTGATTTGTTAAAGGGGGCTTATAAAAATGAAAATTACAGAACTGTGCTCATTTGATTCATCATTCTTTTCCCTTGTTATTTCTGTACATTCATATACCTTTTCCTGAATTTGATTCTGCTCTGCTACTTTCATTTCTACATATAAATATTTTCTGGACCTTTCTCGGGAAAATAATTTATGGAATTCTTTCATGCATAAACGGATAAATGCACACATGACTTGAATTCCCTTTTGTTACATATATAAACAAGACAGTTAAAATTCATGCATAGGGCATTAGATGTATCCACTAGAGTGCACTGTATACGAGGGGGGAGTTTAAGGCCGTGAATAAATAATACTCATAATGAATTGCACACTCCAAAGTTTATCACAGTACATAAAGGGAGTACTTACAGAATCAACTGACGATATTATAGAGACCACACACATTACAAGAGCCATTTTCCCATGGAAGACGGGAATCCCCCACTGTAAAGGATATGGAAATCTAAACCAGGGGGAAGATCTTAATGCATGGGAAGTATCAACTCGGCAGCTCTTCATCTTAGAAACGTGTTTTCTGCAGTGATCGGATATCAGTTTTGAAGCTGGTACATTAACATCACAACCTTTGTAGCTATAGGTTCCCATTTCAGTCAGGAGATAAGCTACAGTCCAAGTTATAGCTAGACCCAATGGAACCTGTTTGTATACAAATGAAGAAGGAAATTACTATCCTAGAAAGCATAGACATGCTAGCTTATATGAGAAGACAGAGTGAGAAGTAGCAAAACAGACTTACAGCATAAATTAGGAATACACGATGACCCAAAATAGCAACCTTTCGAAGGTACTGTCAGAGTGACAGGCAAGAAAAGATTCAAATTGAGAGAATATATTTAATTTAAAATACTACTGTCAATGAATCCATGAATACGAAAGTAGCAACAATAACTAAAACATAAAGGAATCATAACACAGAGGGTTAACAAAGCTTTACCATGAAAACTTACAAGAGAAAAAATAACAACCAGTAAGATCTGCACTACACCAACTTCAAGACAGGCACCAACTCGGGGAAACCCATAACTGTAAAAAGATAGCCCGATAGCAGCAATAGTAGGAGCAACAACCACTGGATTAATCCACCTGAAAAATGGAAAAGACACATGAAGTTCTTATTCATATGCTCATATCATAGAAGTAACCGAGAAACAAAACTCAATCCTTTTAAAAGGAAAGCTTGCACTCAAAAGTACTCATACTAGAATGGGAGACTTAATTATTATCCTGGATAAAGAATCAGCCAACTTTCATGCTAACCTTCTTGTAGTTACAAACAAATTAATCATATGATTTTAGAAACGTGAAGAAACTGCATTTTAGCACTAGAACCTCTTAGGAAAATAGGTTTCCATAATTCTATCCCACAGTTTAGATTTAAAGCAGGACTTAAAATCTGCTTAGAATCAAATTGACCTCTTATCATCTACAGCCACTTTGTAATAACCAATCCAGCCCTCTATGATTAACTAAAATGATTGATGTAGACAAGATGCGTGCATAGAATTAGTGCCATATCCAGTCAATATTTCATGCAGCCTCTATGAAAATTATGTTCCAATTTTGCTATAAAGGTATGTTCATTATGAAGCATCATGTTAAAAGCTATGACAGGGGATGTTAATGGAAATTTAGTCAGCAAAATCACATAGAATGATCACCACTCAGACATTCAGTTGATTGAATACTAGCAGTAAGCACTGAAAACTGCAATTAACAATAGAAAATAGAACCAATTTTAATATATGACATGAGCACTCGACAATAGGCGATGTCACATTTCCAGACAACAATTGGGTTCCAGATATGTTCCTCGTTTCTTACGATAATAAAATAGAAAATATAAATTTTGAAAACAAAATATCTTACTTTAAAAATATCATCATAAGCCCACTGTAGCCCACTATTGCTTGAAAAGCTGAAGCAATTATTATGGCTCCCTGTAACTCTTTCATGATATGATTGAAATTCTGCAAGATAAAAGTATAAGCTCAATGCCAAAAAAAGTTCAGGACACACTTGATATTGTACATATCACAATCAAAAGTTCAGAAGCATACATTTCCATTTAATTTTAAGAACTCGCGGGAGTTGATTATTGCAAGTGCAGGTGCAAGGTAAACAAATGAAGGACCTTGTATTAGGGGCAGCCTTGAGCCGAAAAACGTATGCAAAAGTGTTGACACTCCAGACACAAAAAGCACAGTGGAGACGACATTTGATGTATCCTCCTAGTTCCACGAAATTCAATTACAAGTCAAGCAATTTACAAAAAAAATCAAAAAGAGGTACTTGTCAAGCGTCATATGAAGGAAAGAATTACAAGTGCTCACATAGGTGCCGCCCATTGCCGGAACTACCACAAGTGGAATGAGCACCAATGAACCCAATATTGAAAGATAATGTTGTAAGCTGTAGAACCCAATAGGAACTGAAACATGATCACCAAAATAACAATATTTTAAATATCTATTGAAGGAAAAGAGACAACATGTCAACATAACAACTTTACTCCTTCATTACCAATTACTTACGCAATGTACCAATAATATATAACAAAGAATTTAGTCTCCATCCTTATAATACCAGCAAACAGACAGATAGTGTAACCCAAGGTTCTGTGAATGTGTACCCAATTTTAACCGAAATGGTTAGATAAAAATAAACTGGTTCATTTAGAAACGAAGAATAGTGCTCAAATAAGCACAGGATTAGAAAAACATTGGATTGTTCCACGGGAATTAAATACAACTATATCAGGAAACCTGGAGCACAAGCTCACCAAGACCAGGTGAATCTCTAAGCTCGTACTTCATATGTGAATGCCTCATTAACTCATCATCATCAATAGATTGCGGCAGCATATCTACGGCATCCTCATTCCTGGATACTCTTCCACTAGTCTGCCGCTGCTGCCCACCAGACGCTGTCTTAGCAGGCTCAACCGTTGCAGTAGCAGCTACCGCCTGTCCATTAGCTACCGGACTCCTCTGCACCCCACCACCGTCAGAATCCCTCCGTTTCCTCACCGGCTGATCCTTCTCCTGTTGCTCCCCGTTAGCCTTATCCGGCCCAGGCCTAGTCCTCCCGGCCTCGAGATCCAGATTAGAGTCCACCATCCTGGTCGGGGCAGGAGGCTGATCCTGCAGCCGGAGAGAAATTTGGTCGGAGTTACCGGCATTGGTCTCCCCAGAAAACTTGGCCCGAAACCCAGTCCGCTTGGCCCATGAAGACGTCGGCATTGCCTGGGCGGGCGGCCATGGACCGGGCCGGTTCTTCGTACCAGCGTCGGAGCTAGCCATTGTTCTGCGAGCTCAGAGGTTTAGAGAGAGAAAGCACGAGCAGATTGAAGAGAGGGGGAGGGAATGTTGGCGGAGAAAGACAGAGTACTGGCGTACTGAGTAGCCCGACTGAGCTGAGAAGTGTAAAAGAGCGGGATGACAAGGAGGGAGAAAACGACGGCGTATGGTATCAACAGCTCTTGACTTTCGAGGAGTGGGTTGAGTTGGTAGGCAGTATGTGAGAATACGTTTTGCATACGTAGGACTTACCGACCGTATGAGGTAAAAGTACTTCTCCGTCACGGTCTTTTATTTCGGTTACGCTTCATATTTGTTGCATTTAAATACGGAGTAATTAATTAATTAATTAAAGGGAAAAGGACTCGAACTAAGTCTAGTCTCAAATTGCAAAAAAAAAAACTAAGTCTAGTTTGATGAATTTAACCGGGAAGATAGTTAAATGATTTTCTGAAATATATTGCATTGTTTAACAGCGCAGTTATCTTTAAACATTTATTTGACTGTCTTCCCGATTGCATTTTTAGCTGAAATTTGGTATGAGTAAACTAGACTTAATGAAAAAGATGCTCAAAAAATTTCATCAAAAAATTCCATCGGAAACCGCCCCAAATGGCGCCGACCGGACAGAGCCTCCTATGAAAGGGGTGATTTGCATTTTTTCGGTTAGTTCAAGGTTTTTTTTGCCCCTTTTCACTTAATTAAATCTTTACCGTTTCGTGTAGTTTATGATACATGCCCTTCTTGTATTGCCAACAGTCTGGTGAACGATATATTATCTTAATTTAGTTTTCGTTTTCTTTCAAAAAACAAAAGGAGGGGAAAATATTATCAAACAAAAATCTTACTATTTTTTGGTTTGGTTCGGTTTAATTCGATTTGATTCGGTTTGGATTTGTTTTTTTATAATATATGAAAGTTTTATTGAATTTCTTTAGTTTGGTTCGGTTTTTATTTGTTTCTATTCGGTTCGGTTTAATACGGTTTGGACTTTGGAAGATATACTACCAAACTCAAACCAAATTACATATGGTTCGGTTTCGCTTTGGTTTAGTTCGGTTTGGTACGATTCGGTTTGGTTAAACCAAAGCAATATGCCCACCAGTAGATAGAAAAGGAAAAACAAATAAATTTATATATTATTAGTATTTCTTATTTCAACTTTGTAGCTTTGTTAGTAAGTTCTTATATCATGATTAATCTTTTTATTTTTCATATTCAATTGTGTGATAATCAAAAGAAAAAAATCTGAAATTACTCTGTATTTTTTTTGCTGAATTAGCTCAAGTTCCTGAATATAACAATTTTAGCTTGTTCATATAATATTTTCCTAATTTTATTTGTAATTTATATACATGTGAGTTTTATATTTCAACTCATTCAACCGATTCAATATTTAAATCCATAACTTCAGTGATTTTAGTATGTTTTGTCGATGCCAAATTCATACTTGCTAAATTCATGGAAGAAAATTTAGTAATAAATTTAGTTCTTGTAAACGTAAAATTAGATTCATCATGTTATATGAGTATACACAAGACTTGACTTGAACACGATTCCATATACTTGATTATTTTGTTATCTTTGCGATACCGTTGTGTACGGTAATACTACAGAATTTTAATTTATAAACGATTATTTTTACGCAATTTGATTTCCAGAAATTCATGTTTAAAACATTCATTGATTGTTTATTTCTACTCATATATATGAATTAATGATGAATTCTGATAACAATATTCACATGATATGATCAATTAATATACTTGTTGTTATATGTCATCATTTTGGTAACATTATTTTGGGCGAGAAACAACGCAGCTTTTTACATTAAATACTTTGGAAATATATTCTCGATCATTTATTTAAAATTTTATGTTAAAATAACATATAAAGTCCATGGTTAATCGTTGATTTAAAACAATGTGTTTTGAACCGGCAGTTATTTTGTGTGGACATATGCATTATGAGCCCGTTTGATTACACTGAAATCGGCTGATTCTGCTGAAATTTATGAAGTTCTGACTAACGTGGTTGTATAAGCTGATGTTTCTGATTTATGAAAAATTATATTTGAAATATATTTTATTACTAAATAAAAAATCAATAAAAAAATTAATAAATAAAGAAAAAACATATGAAAAATAACTAAAATTGTCATATACAGTAACTTCAGCCAATACAGTCAGAAAATTAACTTGAACCTTACTTTTTCTTATTATTACAAAATTCAGTGCGAGAAATCAAAAGTTACGTGTTTGGTTAAAAAAATGACTGATAAGCTTGATAAGTCGAAAAACAGAGTCACCAAACTAGAGGACGTTTGGAAGAGCAAAAATGGGCGGATTAGACTGAAAATCTGCAAAAATTGCCAAACTCTCCTTCAATGGGCTGCTTTGGCTGATTCCTCTTATCAGCCGAAAAAGTGGTTTCATATTTACTCTTTGAGCTGATTTTTATTTTGGTACGGTTAAGATGTTAAAAGGCAGCTTTATCTTTATCTAGTACATACAAAATTTCTTGCTCGATTGCTCCATATTCAATACATTTCCTTCCTAGTCAGAGAAGTCATGCTCGGCTCCATATTGGTTGTGCCGTTCTGGCCTTCAAGGTTTGAAAAGAAAAATATTTGTTCTCTATGGAATCCGCCAGAGTGCTTTTTTCTTTATGGTTATACTTCGTGTATGTTGAGTTAAGTGATTGGTGCTTCTTCTTGTTCTTCCTTGCTTTTGTGTTGATGAATTGACTTACATATTTGATGTGTTGTAGTTTTTTAAACCATAGTATTTTAGTGTAAAAAATAATACTCTTTATGGTAATTATGCATGCAATTGTTAAATTCAACCAATATAGTAATTATACCTCACACTTTCACGTCAGGATTTCAATCTTTTACAGTCTTTTCAACCGTTGCAGCCATTACATAACAAGCCCTATATGTCTAACTTCTTTTCTCATGATTTATATTATGCTTGAAATAAGTTTCATTATGTTATTGTATGACATTTAGCTACTATTACTCTATGAAGTTATGTTGACGTGCGAGAATATGTACATATGTACCATGTTTGCATTGTTTTATGTATCCAACATATTTGAATCATTCGTTTAGTTTTGTGTTACACTGCTTTTCATGCCCTTTTAATGTTAATATATCCATGTGTATACTTTGATTTTGTACTAAGTTACATGAATAAATGATGTTCTCAAACAACATCTGCATGATGTGATTATAAGTGCTTTAATTTTGTTGTGTTTTGTGTCTTGTTTAGTGATATAATATCGATGATTTAACCATCAAATGAGTGACATGCCCGATATATGCTAGATTTTATATACTCGGAGAAATATGTTTATTTTTAGTATGAATTGTTTTTATGTGTATACAAATCTGGCTTTTCATAGTGAATATTTGTTTTTTTATGTTTATATGATTTTAAATTCACATTCTAAACCCATTTTAAATTATTGGACTCAAACTATATGTTTATTTAATCTATGTTTTAAATAAGTTTTCTTATGTTTATTTCAAGAAGTAAATTATAGCTACTCTTTTAAAACATGGTTTAAATTACGTTTGAGGTTTGACTATGTTTGACTCGAGACATGACGTGAACCTACGTGAAGTCTATACACTATTTAATTACATTGTGTGTTAAATCAAATTTTAATTCCAAATTTGAACTCCATTTAACATTGGGTAGCTAGCTGTAAACATTTAAAATACCTAAATACAAAATAGGAAAATGTTTTATTTTTTTGGGTGCATCTATCCAAAAGGAATTCATGACATTATGACCATCCTCTATTTTATACGAATAGTATTTCTATTCTTTTTAATCCCAAATTGGTTTGTAAATAGAAAGATCATAATAATATAAACCACATCAACAATATTTCTTTAACAAGGAAGCGAGAACATCATCCTTTACATTAGAACTAAGACAAATTAAGCTGGTCAAATATCAAATTAATGGATTGTAGTTATAATAATTACTTTAGTGAATCTAAGCTCTTGCTTAACTCCTCCAATTGCTTCATTCTCAGCTTTTCGCTTTCATCCACCAGCTCCATTAATTTTGTCATTAGCAGAGCTTTTTCCTTAACTTTTAAATTAAACGCTTCCAAAGCTTCTTTGTATTCCTTTTCCTGCATATATACCGTCCAACTGCTCTCTATTAGCTTTCAAATTTTTCTATTATACACTAGGCATATAATATTAAAATTTCCATACTTGAATTAGATATATAATGGTCGTTGTTCTTAACTTTCAGTTTTCAAAGTTAGTATGTAGCCTTACACAATATAATACTTAATAGGAGGTGTAAGATGAGAAATATTAAAATAAGTTATTTTTTACTTGGAAAAATAAAGAATAAAATAACTCATTGGCTTAAGACCTAAGATGCTTAGTATATAAAAAATTCTAGTTTTGTTATGTTTAATTTGTCTTTATTAGATTACTAGTACGCAATTTCATTAAACATCAAACAATATTAAATAACAGACATACTAGTTACATAGTATTCAAACTACGTGATGTAATTAAAAATATAAATATTTATGACATTAAAATTACACAATTCAGTTACTTCTTACTTTTCAAAAAGATTTTTTTTTGCATAAATAATAAACTTTAACTTATTCTAACATTAATATAAATATAATATACACCATCTATATGAATCAGCAACATAACATTTTTTTAAAAAATAAATAATCTCATACATGCGTTTATAATATCACAAATATTCCTCGTGGCTTGCACACATTCTTAGTAGACAACAAGTGTGATTCAAAAATTAATTCTTTACTTCGATAACATTCATGTGGTTAAAAAAGTCATTAATTATTTAAAAGGTATGAGTAAATGTGTACCTTTTAGACTCTTTATCTTCATATAATTTGATGAAAAATATTTTAGACTCGTTAAAAACACAACTTTTATATTATCAAATAATTTTCGTTTGATTTTTCATTTCTTAGGTTATATTGTACTAATACTTTTTTCAAGAACACTTCAATAGTGAAATCAAAGTTACTACTTCATTGTGTAAACTTAAGGTGTAGTAGATCTAAATGTCATGTATACTAATGATTTTTTTGAATGAAACAATAGGCAGAGCCCTACGACGCTACCGAAAAACATTTCACCCTCATGACTATGAATCACGGATCCACCTATTTGCCTAATGTACCAGTGTTGTTCTGTTCTGAAGCACAAGTTTGGTTTAGCACAAGTTTTAAGAAAGTGATTGAAAAAATAAAATTGTGATTGAGATTTCAGTAGAAAAAGTGGTAAATTATGAGTCACATATTGTTTTTAAAAGTGGAAACGAGAAAATTATTTTGGGACATCTCAAAAAGAAAAACAAGACAATTATTTCGGGACGAAAGTAGTATTAGAGTAAGAATTAGTCTAGTCTAATCGGATTGTTCAATACTTGGATTAATTTGACTAGTGCACGTAATTTTTTCTGTTTTTTATCTATTGAATAATGGACGGACATTTACAATTTATAATTAACGAGTAATTGGATCGTTACTTTTACTTTAGTTAATTTACTTTAGTTAGTTTACTTTTTTGTCTTTTTTCTTTTTTTCTTTATTTTAAACTCAAATAATTATAGCGTCTAAAAAGAATAAATATATACAAATGAACATTTCAATTTTTGAAAACTCATTCTGTAAGTTATGTATGTCCATTTAGTACCTTTGTTATGCTCATTTTAAAATGTTTATCCATGCATATTTCAAAAGTCTCATATTACATTAGTTTCACATAGAATTTGATTATAGACACGAGACCACAAACCATGATACTGAATTTCATGATTCTAGTACCCAATAACGGAGGTTCGATTCTCACTGAAGATATCTTGATGTTCAACAAACAAAACACACCGTTTTCATATCAATGATCATCTTGTAAGTTACGAATGCTCATTTGTATAGGTCTGATGCTCATTAAAAATTCATTAATGTTCATTGATCTCAATAGAAGAGGTTTGATGCTCAACAGAATAGGTTTGGTGCTCATTAAAAGTTCATTATTACTCATTTTCCAGAAGTCGTGATTTTCATCTCAATAGTGGAGATTTGATGCTCAATTAAAATGTCATGATGTTCATCTAACAAACCTAACAATTTTCATATTAATGTGCACTTTGTAAGTTATGTATGCTCATTTGGTACTCATGTTATGTTCATTTTTACAATGTCATATCAATGTATATTTCAAAAGTATCATATTACATTAGACTCGCATATTGAAATTAATAAGAGTGGATTATAGATATAATTTAATAAGTTTTTATAAAAGAAAAAATAAGAAAAAGAAAAAGAATTAGAAGATATGAAGCAAAGATCGTGATACTCATTATTAGTCTCCTAATACTCAATAAAATAGGTCAGATGCTCACTAAAAGTACATTATTGCTCATTTAGCGTTAGCCGTGATTTTTCTCTTAATTTACAAAAATGCCACCGAAAAAAATTAGACTGTATCAATTAAATGGGTTGTCGTTTTTAATTAATTGGGCCTTCATCAAATTCATTAAACTTTATTAAAATTGGGCTGAAGCTTCAATTAAATTACAAATAGACCCGAATGTACGGTTCCCTCCCGTACCCCGGGTGTAGGATATACGAACTGATATTTACGTATAACATGTAATAAAGCGTGTTGCATTATAAAGATATGAAGTACATCATAGCATCATAAAAGGTAAAATATAATTAGTGTAGTTTTTTTTAAGGATAATTAGTTTAGTTTTCAAAGATTTTTGAAATTACTCATGTAGAAATAACTAGGAAAAGAAATGAAGTTTTCCTGATATAATGCCGATCTAGATTTTTTCACAAATGTTAAAGTTACTCTAAAATGTACCTCATTTTTAACCTTGATCATAATTGGGGCAATATATTTAAGTGGAGCACCACTTAAATGAATTGACTCATTTATAATCCTACATCATGCACCCTGAGATAAAAATGAGGTAGATTTTGAGTACCTCCTGCAGACGGCGAGTATAGCAGCAACCGTGAGCAATAGCTACAACATCTGTTGGGTGTCTTCAAGGTACCTCCTTTTTATTTATTACGGAGTATGAGTTAAAATTGACATTGTAGGCTTCAAGTTCATGGACACGGACACTCTTTTTCGTCAAACATTTTAGGTTACCGTAATTCTTCTTGCATATGGAGCATCTTCTTCTTCAGCTGCATTTTTTCTTGTCCAAGGTTACTTTACCTTTTGTTTTTGGAAATTCAATTCTTTTTCCAATTCCTCAATTTGCAGCTCAACCGTTTGTGCCTTCTTTTTTGTGAATTTGATATAATTTTTAGAGTTGTTATTAATTGATAGTATTAGCAGAAGAAGTTAGGACATATGGGAGAAGCTTGTTTCCTTAAAACAGTGCATTATATATTGCAGAGAAACTAGTACTCAAATTGCAACCCTTTGTAGAAAGATAGGCAGCCACTTAGAGAAATTAGGACACAAAGCTAAGAGTCTCTTACTCTCTTATTTGTTTTAGAGTAACTAGCACTCACAATTAGCATTTAAACTAGAGTAATTAGCACCCATAATTAGTTGTTCCCTGCTGCCTAGATAATAGAGTATATTTTTGTTTTTTATCATAGAGTATATTTGTGTTAAAAGAAAGAAAATAGTGGGATTGTTGCTAAACTAAGTGAACTCTTCTTAGAATTTCAACCAGTGACCCTTCTTCACATATTATAGTTAATTGGCATCCCAACAGATATCTACAAAAAAATTGTTGCCACTATCCAAAGAGCAACATTTGACCAATAAAGAAATTTTTAAATTTAGGCAAGGTAAAAGCTGCAACAAATCATTAATCCTGATTACAACTTCAATATCAATTTGCCGGTTTAAGTAAATTCATCAATCATAACTTGTGACTTTTTTTGCAAATTACTGAAAAATTAGCTTTTTATGATCAAACCTGGCTCTTTTTTTTTTTTTGGGGGGGGGGGGGGTTAAAGCGTGTTTGAAAATTAAACATAGTCTTTTTTTAAGAGGGCATTAATTGTGTATGAGTTTGTTCAGATAAAAAAGGTGCATAAACAAAAAATATTTCAAAGTTTTCACCAAACAGTATTTTATCTTTCTTTTTCAAAAAGGAAGGCACTTGTATACCATTTTATCTTGGAGAAAGTTGATTCCAAAACCATGGAGTCTAGTAGCATTAATTGTTGGCCTAGGATTTAAGGTAGCCATAAGACGCCACTAGTTAGCAACATTCTGGGCGTAAGAGTTAAATGTGGTCTATGAGAAGATAGAAGTCAAAGCAAAAATAAGACAGCAATCTGCATTGTTTATGTGTACCTCTCAAACCCTTACCTTTTGGGTCTCTCTCTGTGCATTGTTTATGTATTCCTTTGAGTGTCCATTTTTGAGTAATTATTTTAAATTTTATTTTACTTTAAACGCTTGATAGGAAACTGATGGAGGTTGGTAAATTGAAAACTCCTGCTGAAACTGGTACGACAAAAGCTTCGTATTCTGGAGTGCATTGATATTCAGTGAATGTTCCCAGAACTGGGGTTTGGTCCATCAGGTAGTCAGTTTGTTTTTTGTTGAGGTTTATGAGTCATTGAATGTATTGCATAATTAGTTATTGTGTACTTGTCTACATGAAGAGGTGCAGTGAAAATCTGAAATGAGAAGTGTACCAAAATGTATGCCATGTAAGGTGAAAGTGGTTGAGAAAAACCCTAAAACAGAAAATGTTCCCGTTGCTAACAAACTAGACTGCTTTTGTTTGTCCCTTGGGATTTCCATGGTTATAGTCAGACTGGAAAGAGCTTTGTCGTTTACTTTTTTGTAATCTGTGGGCCTTATTGCTTGATATTTACAAAGAAGACTTGCATGTTGCATGTTCCCTAATCACCATATTTTCCTACATAGCAAGGTCTGGGACCTCCTCCAATGCTGCAAGAGCGATTCCAGAGTGTGAAGTTGCATGAAAAAGAATCGAAGGGCGTCAATATAAAGATTCTTTTGAAGATACTGCTTTAAAAATGGTAAGTGTTAGTTGTCACATTATTTTATTTTATTCCCATCATTTTAATTTTTTTTTGTTAGTCATGCATTGCTTAGTTTATAAAAATGAAACTGAAGTAGAAATTATTTCTGGTAAGTGGCAACATATGCTCATTTTTATGATACCTATCTGCTTGTGTTCATTATTTTTTGTTTCTGTTAACTTTAAGTTAACAAATTACCTATGATTTGTACTTTTCTCTGGAAACACTTCATAGTGTATTATTTTTTATTCTATGATATTTTGGATTCTCTTTCAAATTGGACGGTGTAACTTTTATAGTTTATGATACATTCTGTGAGATGTGTTTATATATTTCTCGCATAAGTGTGTTGGATGTTCTTCATTACAAAATACAAATTATGGATATTTTAGCACTTCTTGTATTATTAATGTATATAAAATTCAAATTACAAGCATGTTATTTTATATCTAAACGTGTAGTTCAGAATCGTCAAAACTTTGTTACAACATAATGTTTAATATAAGTGTTGCCAATTTTGAACAAAATATTGCATAAAATATTTGTTAAACTGTTACGGAATGTAATTAGTGTTGCAAAATAATATACTCCCTCCGTTTCTGAAACAAGTTCCACCTTTCCTTTTCGGGCAGATTCAAAATTAAGTTCCACTTTCAAACATTTCCTTATTTGGCAAATTATCTACATCAAAACAGTGTCAAACAGTGTTCAAACAGTGTTCAAACAGTGCACTCCACAATAAAGTCAGATTTATTTTCTTAATATGTGTGAAGTCAAATGTGGAACTTGTTTCAGAAACGGAGGGAGTACAAAACATGTTACATAGTAGTATATACTATCATATTAATTAACGCCTAACGTCATATCTTAAGTGTTGCATTTTATTTCGAAAAGTGTTACGTAAGAACTTGATTAAAGTGTCACAAAAGAAGTGTTGCATTTGGAATATTTTTGCAACATTTTTTATTTTATGTTGCATAATAAGATAAAATGTTGCATACGGCTTTATGTAACGAGACCTGAAGTAACGCTCATAAAAGTGTTACATTAGTACTGAGCAGCTACCAAAATTTGTATTTATATTTGTTTTGATTACAAAATTACAAACACAATTGCTAAAAAATAATAGATAAAGACCAAATTTGATGGAACAATTAGCAACCAACTATGATGGCTAATTATATATATCGGAATACCTGTTCTAATAATTACTATTCTTGAGTCAATCAATTCTTTTTTAATTTATATTTCTAGGTGCTACTACAAAATTTGGGACAAAGTTGATGAACAAAAAATTACTTAAATAACATGATAGTTACTACTTACTACCATGGTTTTGTTAGTTGATAAGTACATTAAGTTCTTTTTGTGCACGCCCCATTTTGTTTGTCACTGGCAAATCTTTTCATTTTAAATACACATTTCTCATGATACTGATCAAATTTGGGGAAGAAATTGGTTGTGATACAGATTTGTTTATCAATATCACAAGCAATTCAGTTTAAAAGCGATAAAAGTTATCTCTCGCACAAATAAAATGGTGTGTACGTGTATTTTAAGCAATTCATTGTGCTCTTGATGGAAATTCTGACCTTTCTTTGGCAGGTGTGTCCGATGGGCTTCAGTTCGCGAGTGACATGATCAATCCTTTTGCGCACAAAAGCAACTTCTTTTCCCATTGGATCAACAAATCCTTCAAGCTCCTAAAGGATACTTAACATATATATCATGCTTTAAAACATGAGTATCATGACAATGGTGTATCATATTTGGGGGTCGGGCTTAAAAAATTTGTATTAGGGATGACATTTGCTAATAAATTATATACATATGTATATGCCATGGGAGGATCTAAGGGACAAACTAGGCTCTGGCCCACCCCAAATTTCAAAGATGCTTTAATTTTTGAAAAAAGTTTTCCAAAAATATTCTTTGTATTAGCCTAGGACAGGTGGCCCAGTCAGAGTTTGAAAATGCTTGAATCTTGAGAACATTATATGTTGCATAGTACAAACCAAGCCCCAGAGAACCTTTTAAATATTTAAGGATTCTGATGGCAGCTTATAGATGCGGAGTACTGGGATTAGACACAAACTGACTTAGTTATTGAACTGAAAAGGCAGGTTTAGTATTGGTCGAGTAAAGAAGTCTGCCAAATAATCTTCTGAAAGATGTAGGGGTCAGCAATTCACCATCAGTAGAATTTAATCTGACAGAAGCATTAGAAGGAGAAGACACTGGTTTACAACATGTGAATCCAAATTCAGAAATGATTTCCAAACAATATTTCCTTTGATTGAGCACTAGACCAGCTTTTAATCTTGCTACTTCAAAACTTAGAATTTTTTTAGATCTCCAAGATCTTTTATATGAAACTGATTATGAAGATAAGCTTTGACTGCATTTATTTCTTCCAAGTAGTTTCCAGTAAGAATAACATCATCAACATAAATCAACAATGCAGTAAAGGATGATTCAGATTGCTTGATGTACATAGAATAATCTGAAATACTTTGAGTATATCCAAGCTGAATAAGAGTGACTTTTGGAGTTTACAAACAAGACCAGATTTAGAAGGTAGAAAACCCGAAGGAGGTTTCATATATACCTCTTCATGAGTTCATGGAGATCAACATGCAAAAAGTCATTAACAACATCTAATTGGTGAAGATGCGAATTTATAGAAATAGAAATGGAAAGAATAATCTAACAGTAGTTAGTTTAACTACTGGAGTAAATGTTTCAAAGCAATCTACCCCCTCCGTTTATGTATATCCTTGGGCTACTAACCTATCCTTATATCTTTCCACAGTTCCATCTGCTTTTTGTTTCACTTTGTAGACCCATCTACTACCTACAGCAAGTTTTCCTGGAGGTGGTGAAACCAATGACTAAGTTTGACTTGCTTGTAAAGCTTCGATTTCTGTCATCATAGCCTTTTTCCAACAATCTAATTGGATAACTTCTTTGAAAGATTTGGGTTCAGAAGTAGCAGAAATGGACAAACAAAAGGATGTATGAGCAGAAGAGCAATTAAAATAAGAAAAGTAAGATTGTGAATGATAAGAAGTAGAAAAAGATTAGAAAGTGATGTGGAAATGTGGCCACAATGATAATTAGACAAATATGAAGGTGGTTTGGTAACTCTTGTCGAAGTTCTTTTACGAATTCCAGTTTTGACATGGACCATTTGATTCTTCATTATTATTTGGTCAAACAGGAGGTGACCCAGAATGAAGGGAAAGATGGATTGAAAAAGGAGTCCTCTAGCAGCATTTAGACCGTGTTGATGTTTCCTTTAAACAATTCCAATTTTATTGAAGTGTTTCATGAAAGTTGCTATGTTTTTGTAAGAAATCCTTAAGAAAGAATTCTCTACCATTGTCAGATCTCAATTTCTTGAGTTTAGAAGAGAACTGGTTTTGAGTGAGAAGTATGGAACTGGGAAGAAGAGTTTGTATTCCATATTTATTTTTGGGTAAATTAACGGAAGAATGAGAAGAACTTTCTTTGGTTTGTTGAAGCAATGCTCTGATGGCATTGTATTGATATTTAGAAAGCGTGAACTGGTCATGGTTAACACCTGCAACCAAGGATCAACATTCTCTTCAGCTATGGGAATGAAAGACCGATTCAAACTTTCTTTTGAATTGGTGAATGCAACAGTAGCAGTTGCTAAGGATAGAATAAAATCACCAGCAAACTCCCTTTCATGGTGAAGAACCAGTTTGAAAATCTTAACAACTGATGGCATATGATCCATTATCATGAGCTGCGAACGAGTTTGTGCTTGCAAACTGTGGATGTACCTTGCTTGCAGTTCTCGATCTGATCTTGTGGGTCAGCAATGCGGAATTTCTCTGAATGCGAAAAACGCTCTCGAATATCTTTCTAAATTTCTGATGCAGTATCCATCCAAATCACGATTCCTTGATTGAAAGGCTCATTGAACGAATCAGCCAAGACACAACCATAGGATTGCATCGTTTCCATGCTTCTGACAACGGATCTGAGCTCGATGGGCAGGAAAGAGTCCAAAAAATGTACTACTCCTTGTTCTTGGATTCCAGCGCAACAATAATATTCCTATTTCTCTACGTTTTCAAGCTGATCTTGATTGGGGCAGGTGAACAGGAGAATGGACTGTACTATTGGCGGCCCTCTATCTCTGTTCAGACAATACAAGTGGGCAAAAATTCAGCGGACTTGTGGCATCAACCACTTGGGCATCCAGCCGGACAACTCTTGCAAAAGTTCTTTTATGCATGGTATTAACTATTAAGGATTATATTTCTTCACTGTGTGAAGTATGTTTTAAATCCAAACAGATGAGGGATGTTTTTCCAATGAACCATGCTTGATGTACACAACTACACACCTTATACACACCATGCAAAACATTGTCTGTGTATCGATGTTCACAGACAAAAAAAAAGCTTTCACAGACATAGGTGTGTACAAAAGTGTGTATAAGAGTGTGTACAAACATCATTTTTGTTTTCCAATAAGTGATAACCCTACAAAACGCATCTTTTGAACTTGTTCATTGTGATTTGTGGGCCCCGTATAATACACCGTCATCTTGTGGTGCTAAGTATATTTTAACTATTGGGTTTATTTATTGTTTGATAAAAAGGAGGTGGTCTCGACATTTCTTGCTTTTATTGCTATGGTGGAACGACCATTTTCCCATAATGTTAATGTTGTGCGTAGCGATAATGGGACTGAATTTAATGGGCTCAGGAATTATTTTTTTGACAATGGTATTGTGTTTCAAATCTCTTGTGTTGGTACTCCTCAGTAGAATGGAAGGGTGGAATGTAAGCATCGTCATATTCTCAATGTGGCGCGTGCTCTACGTTTTCAAGCTAATCTTCCTATTTTTTTGGGGTGAATGTGTTCTTACCGCTGTGCATTTAATAAACCGGACACCATCTTCTGTTATTGCATATAAAACTCCTTATGAAATTTTGTTTGGAGTTCCACCATCCTATGATTCCTTAAGAGTTTTTGGGTGCTTGTGTTTTGCACATAATTTGCGCTCTAAAGGGGACAAATTTTCAAGTCGCACAAGAAAATGTGTATTTGTTGGATACATTTTTGGTAAAAAAGGGTGGCACGTTTATGATCTGGAAACACATGAATATTTTGTCTCTCGTGATGTCAAATTTTCGAGGACCAATTTCCTTTTCATGCACCATCATCCATGATTCGGGACTCCATCAGAACCCATCCATGAGGATTCTTTTCCCATATTCGACACATTGGACTATCCACCTAGCTATCACCATCGTGACATGCCTACTTCTGTTTTGACGGATACACCAAGTGGTGAACAGATTTCCATTGATTTGCCTCCGAATGTGTTGGAGCATCAGACCACAGAATCAACGCCTTCTTCGTTGAATTCAACTCCGGATAATGCTCATGTTCTCTTGGGCTGTGGCAAACGATAAAAGCTGCCATCAGTCAAACTCAAGGACTACGCCACTCATACTATATTTACTAGTCCATTCTCCTCCTCACTCCCTTCATCATCTCTCTCAGGTACATTATATTAGTGTGATCAATTTTCAACAAAACATTGTGCTTTTCTGGCAGCTATATCGGCAGGTTGTGAACCTAAATATTTTCGTGAGGCTGTTCGTGATCTAGGTTGGCAAGCTGCTATGGCCTCCGAGATTCGTGCTCTCCAAGATAATGTCACGTGGACACTCGTGCCGCTTCCTCCTGGCAAACGAGCTTTAGGGTGCCGGTGGGTATATAAAATCAAACATAAATCTGATGGTGGCGTGGAACGGCTCAAAGCACATTTGGTTATTTTTGGTAACCGTCAAGTCGAAGGTATGGATTATACCGAGACATTTGCACCAGTCGCTAAAATCATGACTGTTCGGGCTTTCTTAGCTATTGCGGCTTCTAAACATTGGGAACTTCATCAAATGGATGTCCACAATGCTTTTCTTCATGGTGACCTACACGAGGAGGTATATATGACTTTGCCACCAGGGTTCCATACCTCGGATCCCAATCTTGTATGTCAGCTTCAAAAATCGCTCTACGGCTTGAAACAGGCACCACGATGTTGGTTTGCTAAGCTCGTTACAGCCTTAAAAGGCTATAGTTTCTCTCAGTCCTTTGCTGATTATTCCTCTTCACTCGTACCCGTGGAGAGGAGCAATTAAATGTTCTGGTTTATGTTGATGATTTAATTATTTCCGGTAATAGTTCTTCCATTATTCATTCATTTAAAGCTTATCTGAGTGAGTGTTTTCATATGAAAGATTTGGAAGTTCTTAAATATTTCCTTGGGATCGAAGTGGCTCGTAGCTCATCTGGGTTATTTCTTAGTCAATGAAAATATGCTCTTGATATTATCTCTGAAATTGGACTTCTTGGCGCCAAACTTGCCTCTCTCCTATTGAACAAAATCATGCATTGGGTCAAGCCACATGAGAAGTTATTTCCGATCCAGATCGCTATCGTCGTCTTGTTGGGCGATTGATCTATCTTGCGGTCACTCGCCCGAACCTAGCATATTCTGTGCATATTCTCTCTCAACTCATGCAGGAACCTCATCAAGATCATTGGGATGCAGCTTTACGTGTTGTTCGGTATTTGAAGGGATCTCCTGGTCAAGGTATACTTCTTCGTGCTGGTAGTACTTTGTCTCTCACTGGATGGTGTGATTCTGACTGGGCTGCATGTCCTCTTACAAGAAAATCTATTTCTGGTTGGCTAATTTTTCTTAGAGGTTCTCCTATATCTTGGAAAACTAAGAAACAAACTACGGTCTCGAGGTTGTCTGCTGAAGTTGAGTATCGCTCCATGGCACCTGCTACTTGTAATTAAAGTGGTTAAAAGCTCTTCTTATAAGGGCATCCCCATCCATTAGATTATTTGAGGTTTAATTGAATGATGTGGAAGATTATTTGAAATATTATCATTGTGAGTGAAAGATTATTAAAAGAGATTATTGAAAAAGAAAATCCGGTATCATGATTAGGATCCCGGATTATTTTAGGTTGTAGTTAAACTTGCATTTAATGCATGGTGTAGAAAAACTAATTATTTGAGTATCATGGATGATGAAGAGTATTAAGATTTGAGATTGTTTAAAATCTATTGAGTAAATGTGATGTGACAATGATGTGTAATAGAAAAACCATTTATTTTAAGATCATGAATGGAGATGCTCTAAGCATGGGTATTCCTCAGGCCATTCCTCTTTATTGTGATAGTCAATCCGCGATTCACATTGCTCGTAATCCGGTCTTTCATGAACGCACCAAACATATTGAGGTGGACTGTCATTTTGTGAGAAACGCTATTCAGGAGGGACTGATTGTTCCAAATTATGTTCATACGACTACTCAGCTTGCAGATATTTTCACAAAAGTCCTTGGCAAAACTCAATTTCACTTTCTTCTTCACAAGTTGGGCATTATTAATCCTCATTCTCCAACTTGAGGAGGAGCATTAGCCGGTTATATATATAGTAACTATACATATATTATTTATTAGCTCTATACACTTTAATATATACGGTTACCAACTTTGGTAATTAACTAAATATTCATAGGAGTAGTTTTAGACTACGTTACTTAAAAGTATTATGTATAAATAGGACTGTACGCCACTTTCTTCTTGACATGAAAGAATTATCCCATTATTAATTATTATTCTTAAATAGTGCGTAGCACTTTACGAAATAATGCCGTGAAAAACTAAAGTAGGATAGAGATAAATATAAGATAACAATAACATATGAATATAAGAAAGATAAATGATAAAAAGATAAAAGAGCATAAAAATTCGGACATAAAAATAACACAAGAACATAAAAAGATAATGAAGATACACGATAAAAGAAAAAGAGAAGAAATATAGAAAAGAGATCACTCATCTACACGAATGTACGTCCTCCATTTTGCTCTCTCCAAAGACACACTCTCATCCAACCCAAGAAGACGCATATCCGTTCTAATTTCTCTAATCCAAGTCTGTTTGGGTCTTTCTCTCCCTCTCCTCTCTGCCTCTTCTCCCCACCTCTCAAGTCGTCTAACAGGTGCATCATTCGGTCTTTTACGCACATGACCAAACCACCGTAAACGAGATTCAAGCATCTTATCTTCTATAGATGTTACTCACACCTTTTGTCTGATTATCTCATTCCTCAACCGGTCTTTTCTGGTATGTCCACACCTCCAACGCAACATACACGTCTCTAATACACTCATCTTTTGAATGTGACATTGTTTCACCGTCCAACACTCTACATCATACATTAATGCATGCCTAATTGCTGTTCGATAAAATTTACCGTTCAGTCTAGTCGGCATACCTCAATTGCATATAAATCCTAATGCACTCTTCCATTTCATCCACCAGCTCTGATTATATGGGATACATCTCCATCTAACTCACCATCCTAAATTTCATGACGATATACGACGTTGATGATCAAGTAGTTTAAATGTTGACGTTGATATGCCGATATCTCTAGCTTTAGCTTTAAAAGCTTGTTTGGTAATTCTTATTTTCGGTTTATCAGTCACATGTCAAAATTTAAACCAAATACTTAACTTCTAATCTCGAGAACTAAATTGAGTAATAATTAAAATAAGTAAGGCAAGAGCTATTTTCCTGGTTGAATTTTGCGAAGACGACTATTTTAACTATTTTTCATAAAAAATTACACACACACACATATATATATATATATATATATATATATATATATTACTAAAATTACTAATATATTTAGTTTTAAATAATTTTTTTCCTTTATTTTACATATTTAATCAATTTAGCATATTTTGCTAGGATTTCACTTATTTTATTCGATTCTATGAATTTAGCATATTTTTGTGCAATAAAATAAAATATGCTCTAAATTAATAGGTGCTCTAATACACAATAGTTGCTACTACGTACAAAACTACTTTCATGAATACGATAGTACAAAACTACAAAACCACCAATCATTTTTATTGCTAAGCCATCTTTGTTACTCGCTTATACGGAGTACTAGTGTACTACGCGTATAACTTCCCAAAGCTGCTAGCTATCTCTTAAGCTCTTAAATTGTACTCCAATGGTTGAAACATTAGCTAGATAGACATGAAAGTCACAAACTAGTATGTAAGCAAACCATTGAAATGCTGTAACTGAAGAGAGAAACAATACCAAAGGAATGATCTTGTCTGGCACGTCTGACAGGATGCGTCGCGTGGACTTGACCATTTGAGGGTCTTCTCGGTGGAATTTTTTTATGAAAGTTTTTTATCATGTTATTCATCAATTCTAGTTTATTCATACAAATTTTCAGCACAAAATGCAATCGGGAGTCATTTAAATAAAATATTGAAACATACTGCGCATTTTGTACATATATAAAGCGCAGTATGTTTCAATAATTTAATCAACCGCCTTACTGATCGAATTTTGATCTGAAATTTGATATGCAAAACTAGTAGATTTGATGAGGAACATGCTAAAAAATTTTCATCAAACAATTCCACCAGGAAGGCCTACAAACGGTCAAGTCTGCACGGCGGTCTGGTCAGACGCTCCTGACCAGATCAGTTCTCAACAATACAATTAATATAATGATTTTAGAGATGCATACTAATAATAATAACCAGCATACAAATTAACTTGGATACCGTAAAAATAAAATACAAAAAATATACGACGTATCTAATCTAATGTCCTAATAGAGTAATAGTTCATCTCTACATAAGGTTCAAAATCTCAAATCGGTCATCAACATTTTTTAGGTAAACAAGGGAAAAATAATAAAAATACCCCAAACTTTGAAAAGGTGTGAGATAAATACCCCAAACTTGTACATGTAATTTAAATACCCCAAATTTTATATAAAAAATTATTTTTGCACAATCTTCATGTATTATTTCTTTCAAAATAGATTATTCTACAGAAAATCTCAAAACTAGTAAACAAGAAAGTTATGAAGTACGTAGTATCTCCTTAATAGATCGATTACCTCTCGTATATCAGCTAAACGTCTAGTTTCTTCCTCAACGCGACCCAGTTGTGCTTGCACTTTCTCGGACACTTCTCTCCTCCTCCTCTGTATCTCCTCTTCCTTGGCACGAAAGGTTGAAAGGGCAGATTTTGTCATGTCATCCTCCTTGTCGTCGGCAATCGGACTGCCAACGATCCCAGAGTAGCCATACACGCCGCCGCCGGAGTTCTTCAACATCAACAACTGCTGCTCCGTTATCATTTCGTTAGGCATCTTAATGAGTTTGTCTAGCTTCTCACTAATTCAGCTACCTATCCTTTACATTCCAATCCCTTTGTTACTTATATATACACAAATTAAATGTGTTTTTGACTTGTGGGTTATGCCCATGTGTACCTAGACTGGCTTTAAAGGAATGTAAACATTATGAATTGCTTTCTTTATTAAGAATACAAAGTACAATATTGTCTTCTTTTTTTGAATTAAAGTTCACTTATATACTTAGATTGGACCAAGTACATAGTAATTTTTGAGCAACACTTCTAATCTATTGAACATGTGATCTTCATTTTAGGAGGACAACATGGAAAAGCATGAGGTATATAGTTTTTGAGAATGTAACTTTATTTGATTTCGTAAAAACAGCTATTTTCCTAAGTTGGTAGGTTCGTTCGTTCAACCACACTAATAATGGCAATGCTGGCCCCAAGCTGGTTGTTGACTATGTAAACTTTGGGTAGTCAATCGTCCATGATTAGGAAACCTTGAAGATTGAAAGCCCAACGAGAATTAATTAAGAGTAGGATTAAAAAGGAAGTTTTAGAAATTGCTCTAAATGGGAGCAAAAACATTTTGAAATTCCATAACAGGAGTATCATGTTTTTTATTCCCTGAATAGAGAGTAATCTGCCAAGTTTGGAAAAAATGCCATGTTTTAAAGGCTAGTAATGTCAAACTTGACAGAAATTTACTCATATTCAAGGAATAAAAAACATGATACTCCTATTTTGGAATTTCAAAACTTTTTTACTTCTATTTAGGGAATTCTCTCAAGAAGTTTCTATTGATGACTCTAAATTCTGAAACATATCTACTTATCCCTACGACCCTGGTATCCATGAGGGTCCCAAACCTCAAGGGTCCCTCACGCGGTCACGCCCCGACCCGACAAGACGTATGAGAAGATAAAAATTGCAGTGATTCAGTCATTCCAATGGTGATAGGTCTAATATCGATGTGCATCAGATGTCCAACCCAGCATGCATGAACTGTAACCACCACATGATCGCTGTGAGTTTCGAACCTTGATCATCCTTCCAATTTTTTCACTACTCAATCAACAGAACTACTCGTGCGGATTCCATGAGGTAGCATTATTCTATCGAATATGTAGGGGTGACCGTAAATATAAAATAAATACGATGGAAACGGATACAAACAATCGAAATTAATCAAACAGAATTCAATCCAACTAGTGATGTTTGGTTCTCAATTTCACTTTTTTTCGAAATTGATTGACTAATTAAGATTCAGTCAATAAATTCAAAATCTATGAAATCAAATCGACGAACACTCCTAATAAATGAATTTTTCTCCTTCTAATTAGGCTCTAAAATTTTGTACTACACTTACCATATAAAATTAACACTTTCTCTCTCTAAAACTTTACTAATACTCTTTCTATCCTTCAAAACTTTGTAGGTTTTAAAATTTTTGGTCAACCGTGTTTAACTCTGACCAATTATATATATTTATAATCAATTATTTATAATATAAAATGATATGGAATTGTTTTTTATTAAAAGTATTTTCATAAAAGTATAAAATTTATATCTTTCATAAAATTATACTCCCTCCGTCCCTTAAAACTTTGCCAAATTTGACCGAAACAGGGATTAATAAAGTAAAAACTATGTGATTAAGGTTTGTGCACAGGAGAAAGAATTATCTGGAACCACAAATTCTACACTATAAAAATGGAAAGTGACAAAGTTAGTGAGACAACAGAAAATAGAAGGATAGCAAAGGTTTAAGGGACGGAGGAATACTAATCATAATTATGGTCTAAGTTTTTTCATCATTAACTTGAAAAGTCAAAGATGACAAAGTTTTAAGGGACAAAAGATTAATTAGCTAGTAAGAAGTAAATCTCTCTACTCAGGTTAATAATAACTCATCACTAAGGCTTACAACTATTCATGTGAAACTTGGTTCTTTTTTAATCTTTAGAAATTACCCTCAATAGTAAAAAAGTTTACCTAAAACGCAACTAGTAGTTTTTAATTCCCTTCAAGTAGGATTAAATATTGATTTCTACCCCAAATACCACTAGGAATATTAAATAGGTACAAAAATAATAATATTAATATTATTTCACATGTATAATTAATCTCACATATGAAACCTTTAAGGATGACTAATTTCTCTGACCTGTTTGGCAATCAGAATTTAGCAGTTAGCGCTTAGCTAATTGTGTTAGCGGATAATTGATATCAAATCTAATAGGCGGATTTGGTTGGCGGATTAATTTGACGGGTTGTGAAACGATGTTTGATAAATTAGATGTTCGGTATCAGCGGTTAGTAGATAAAAACCCATATAAGGGCATTAGTAGATTTTAATACTACTCAAGTGATGGATAGTCTACCCGGGGGTATATATCCGAAGGGTTATTGCGGGGAATGACTTAGAGAGAGGTCAGAGTAAGCAAGTGAATGTAGAGAGAGAGTGTATTCAGTATGAATGCCGTTTTCAGCGTGGTTACAAATGGGGAAATGGGGTGCTATTTATAATAGCAATAAATGCCGGGCAGGGACACGTATCAGGCACTCAATGGCCGAGGGGTCACCTCAACTGGTTGGCGCTGGCAGCCGCATGTGGCCGCATTTAATGCGGCTGTTGGATGGGACGTCTGTGCAGGGTACGGTGATCTGTACGCATGTGAGGCGGATATCTTGTCGAGTGAGATTCCTTCGGCCATAGAGCAGTAGCCGAGGGCTCCTCCAACCGATGGCACCCTGGTGCCGAGGGCTCACAGTGCCGAGGGCTACTGTTTTCGCCGTTTTCTCCCAGTTTCTTAATTTGCTTGAGAAACCCGTTCTGCGAGAGTTTAGAGCCTTCGGCCAGGGGGCCGAAGGCACCCCTGGCGCGTAGTGTGGGCTTCTTGGTACTCTGGGCGCTGTGATTTGAGCCTGTTGGACCTTCTGGGCCTGTTGGGCCTCTAAAGGAGTAGTAGGAGTCTGTGGGCCGGGTGTTCCCGGGCCATATACTCCATCAGGAGTCCCTCACTCCTTTTGCCGAAAGGTACTTGTGGGAAAAGGAGTAATTTGTGCTTGCCCTTTGATGTTGTCCCGTCGTGATCTCTGAAGTTGGTGAGGAGTTGTTGCTTTTATGTCCCTGCCGAAGGCAGTCCCTCAGTTACCCACATGTCGGACTTGAGGGCTTGCCTTGTCGTTTGTTGGAATTTCACTAATTTTGTAATTTAATGATTTTCCCGAGGGGGTCCTCCAGTCCCCCACTCCTTGAGGCACTTGTAAAGTGGTGAAAAGGAGTAGAGTAGTTGCGTTGCTGTTGTGGCCGAAGGCTGACGTTTTTCGTTTCATTTTGGGGGGATGCCTCGTTAAAAACCTCATTAGGAAAAACCCTTTGGGAAAAAATCCTAATGAGGGAAAAAGAGTGCACCGAATTCCCCCAATGATGAATCGAAAATGTCAAACCTTGGTAAAAAATGGAGAATGACGGGAATGCCGAAGGCTCTCTCTTCTGAGGGCTCCTGTGTTGATTAGCCGTAGGCTTGCTGTTGATGTCCTGGTGGCGCCGAAGGGGAGCCCCTCAATTCGGGGATCGAGGGCCTGCTGGATGAGGGCGGCAATGGAGTTGTTACCGGGGGGTCCACTGTTTGTTGATTAGTTGGTGATGAAGATACCCGAGGGCTCCCATTACCTGTGTGCCATGGGTCATCCGTCAATGAGGCAACTCCCCGGGGGCTACCCGGTTTTGCAGTGCTGAGGGGGAATCCCCGAGGGGTGCCCTGAGATGAAGCCCTGGGTTTCTGAAGGAGTGATCCCGAAGGCGTCTGTTATGTGCTGTGTGGGGCACAACCCGGGGGCACTTCTGAGTGAGTGTACCCGGAGGCTATCCTTGATGAAGTGGAGTGAAGTAGAAAACCCGGGGGCTTCCAGAATATAGCCGTTGGAAATATAGCCGTTGGAATATGTAACGACAGGATATAGCCGTTGGGGGGGGTGGCACACGTGGCGTGTGATGGCTGGCTGTTCGTGGGCGGCGTCACCGGTTGGGTGAAACGACGGTGCGTAATGATGGCTTTGGCTGCAGGGAGCCCGGATCTCGGCCCAAGCCCGGATCTGGGAGCCTATAAATACCCCAAGCCAGGGCCATTCCTCCTTTACGCATCCACATCTGTAGCGAAGCTCTGCAAAAAATTCTAGAGAGAGAAACTCAAGCTTTCGGTCAAAAACTCAGCTTTCAGAGGTCAGTTCTCCTTCCGCCCTTAGCTCCATTTGAGTATTTCTTTTGGCCTTAGGGTTAGTCTTTAGGACCCTTCAGGAACCCCCCCTTCGTACGAGTTTCCCGACCCCTCGCCTTTTAGAAAGATGTCGTCAGCTAGTGATTCCCAAGACATCTCCGGGGAGGCTTCAGTGAACGTTGAAGTGCCGTCTGACGTGGAATCCTCGAGCGAGCAGCTCTCGGCCATTGATGATAGGGCCGTAGCCGAGGCGGTACAGAGTGACCTTCAACTTGAGCTCGAGGCCGAAGACTTCGAGCAGGTGAACGCGGATGAGGAGCTTGCCATCGCCTGTAAAGTGGCCGAGGAAGAGGCCCAGAAGGAGGGCCTGAAGGTGACTGTAGCTATCCCTCCCCCTCGGTGTGGTACTGAAGCTGGGAGCTCCCGGCCTATAAACGCTGTACCCCTCAGTGTGGCCCCAGGACAGAAGAGAAAGAAGGCGAGGGTGGCTCCGAAGAAGAAGCAAGCTGCCGTCGACGCTGGCCAGCCACTGGGACTCCCCGAGGGCTATTGATAATCCCATAATACTTAACAAACAACAAATATAGCAGTTATAGAAG